AGGAGGAGGAGGAGAGGAGGAGGAGGAAGAGAAGAAGAAGAGGAGGAGGAGGAGGAGGAGGAGGAAGAAGGGAAATTGTTCATTACAGATCAGTAAGTAAGCACAAGTAAACCCATTCTCACCATGGTTACTGGGTAATCTGACACTGATAGAAGGGAAGGTACATGCATCATAGGAGGAGGGCTTTCAGAAAGATATCAAAAACTGTTATTAGACAGATGCTTCTGAATTGAGAGAAAGTTGTCTGACTAAAATAGACCAAGAGTGTCCATCCAGAGTCAGAGGCATGGACTACATGACCGTTGTCAGTGCAGGCTGTGGTTCACTCCTGCCTCCTCCAAGGAAACCTGTCAAGGGCCATTTTCCTGGGGATTTCTCTTGCCATTTCTAATGTGTTTCTTGCTTTCTGAAGGTCCTTCGGTCCTACCACATCAGGGCAGAATGAGGGCCATGGCAAGAGAAAGGTGTTCTCAGAAACAGGCATGACTGAGAACCTCAGCTTGTGTAGGGCTATTCTTACAAGTCCCTTCCAGGCTGCAGGGTCCCAGGGGAAAGGCAGGCCTCAGGCCCATCCTCAGTGATGTTAGAAATGGGGAGAAGAGGGAGTTTGCCTGGAGATTGACATACACTACTCATGGCTTGCCTGGCATTGATCAGTGACTGAGTCTGGTTGATGGAATAAGGGCAGAAAAGTAGCTCCAGTGCCAGCATCTGTGCTCTCTCTCTGCCTCCATCTACCGGGTGAATACAAAGAGTCCTATGTAGGACTCTGCCCTAGAAAATTGTGGAGCCAGTTGATGACCCTGAATAATTTCATGTGGAGCAAGGTCTTCCATGCCATTCCACTGTGAAATGAGAAATAAATCTTCATTGTGTTAGGTAAGGTCCCTGGGTAGTGCAAACAGTTTGTGTTTGGCTGGTAACGGAAGGGTTGTCGGTTCAAACTGATCAGTGGCATGAGGAAGGGAAGGTCTGGCAATCTGCTTCTGTAAAGATTAAAACCAAGAGATCTTTGGATCTTTATGAAGTAGTTCTGCTCTGTAATACGTGAGGTTGCCGTGAGGAGGAATCTACTTGATAGCACAAGACAACAGCGACACTAAGGTTTGGAAGTTATTTGTTATAGCAGCTATCCCAGCAACACACTTTTTAAAAATGGCGACTGGGGGGGGGGAAGCAGAATAAATTTAAAGAAAATGAAGATGAGAAATTAATAAATTTAGAAAACACATAATAGGAAAGATAATAAAATTCAAAAATTACTTTCTTGAAATGACTAATAATATTGACAAACCTCAAGGAAGAAAGAGCGATGGCAAAAAATAAACATTGTTAAGAAAAAAAAAAAAAAAGAACACATAATTAACAATTCAGCCAAGACAAACGATATTATTAAAGTGTATGTCAATACATTTAAAAATTTTGATGAATGAATAAATTCCTAGAAAAATGATTTACCAAAACACATTCAAGAAGAAATAGAAAACCTGCACAGATATATCATTAAAGGATCAGTTGGTATATGGAAAATGAATTTTTTCTATAAAATTTCACCCAAATCACAATAAAATTTTTTTAAAAAAAGACTCAGTTGGTAATTGTTGGACCCGAATTTGGAAAAGGAGTGTCGGCGCGAGGAACGTGACACTGACACGGCAATGCAGAAGCAAAGGAAAAGTTTATTTTCAAGCTCGAGCTGGGGTCTCTGCTTACACCGGTGCAACGGCTTGGGCAAAAAGACCCCCGGCTCTTCCTGTTTTACACTTTTATAAGACTTTTAAGGGGCAGTTCCACAAGGTAGGGCTGAACATTAATGATTGGTGCAGGGGACAAGCTCTGCTGTTTGGCGGCGACTGATAGGTGCAAGCTCGGGACTTTCCAGATTCTGTTGGGGAAGGGGTCCTCCCTTGGGACTTTCCAGAATCTGTCTTCTCTGATTGGTGCTTAAGAACTCATGATTTCTTATAACTGAGTATATTCTGGTAAACTTAAACTTAAGCTAGAGGAAGTGACAGTTAGGCCTAGTAATACTTTGAGCCTTACCTAAATCAATAGCACTAAACCAGTTAAGTTAGAAACTTAAGCTAGTTATTAAGTTATTTGAGTAAATATGATTGCTGTTTAACTTACATATGCATTTCCGCAGTTTCTAAGTGGTCAATAAAACAAATTTCAATACGTAAGATTTTTCTATTAAGCTTGTTATATACTCTAAGTAATAAGCTGCATATTTAAGTAACAAACTAAGACTACTATGTTTCTAACTTAAGTAACAAACTAAGACTATTATGTTTCTAACTTATTCCCTTACAGTAATGAAACATTTTTCCTCAAAGAAAGCACAGCCCAGAAGACTGACGGGTGAAAGTTCTTCCAAATGTTTGAGGAATATTTACAATCTATACAAATTTCTCTAGAGAATAGAAGAAAAGATATCCCCTACCTTATTAAATGAGGTTAGCCTAACCATGATACCAGAACCACAAAGACAAAATAGCAAAATTATGGGCCAATCTAATTTATTAACAAACAAACAAAAAAATCACTGCCATCAAGTTGATTCCAATTTATAGCAACTACCATTGGGTTTCCAAGGCAGTAAATATTTATGGAAGTAGATTGCCTTGTCTGAAACGCCAACCTTCTGATTAGCAGTCAAGTGCCTTAGGCACTGTACCACCAGAGCTCCTTTTTAACATAGATGGAAGACCCTTAGCAAAACTGGATTAGCAAACTGAATCCAAAAAGGAAAAATATTCATACATCGTGATAGATTTATATCAGACTTGTAATATTAGGTTAATACCCCTACTCCTCACTTGACATGGTTAGTTTCCAAAGACCAGCTCATTAAGCAAAAACTGGCATTGTATGAAAATGAACAAAGAACACATTAGACCACAAAATGGAGGCCCACATCGTTACATAACTGCCAAACCACTGAGAATCATGGCCCAGCCAAGCTGACTCATAACCTTAACCATCACAGCCAGAGTTACTCTCACCTCGACTCTCGATGCTTGTTATTGCCAGATGTATGCTATTAATGTGCAAACTAGTCAGGAGATTTGCCACTATTGTCATATATGTGAAGTGTTGGATAACAAGATAATCACCAAGTGAGGAGTAGGGGTATTAGAAATATGATTAATATGATTCACCACAATGATATTAAAGATGATGCAGTCTTCTTGGTAGATACAGATATCTCACTGCTGTCGAGAGATTCCAACTCATAGCGACCCCTGTTGGGTTTCCAAGGCTATAAATCTTTACAGAAGCAGACTGCCTCATCTTTCTTCTATGGAGCATCTGGGTGGGTTCGAACCACAGACTTTTTGGTTAGCAGCCAAATGCCTTAATCACTACAACACCAGTGCTCCTTAGATACAGATAAAACATCAATAATACAAATATTGGCCTGCAAATATATGAAAAGATGCACGACCCCATTTGTAACCCTAGAGGTGCAAAATAAAACCAGAATTGTGTAACATTTCACCTCTGTCAGACTGGCAAAAAGGAAGTCTGTTACAACTGTTGTTGAGACTGCAAAGCAATGGAAACGCTCACTCTCTGCTGGTACGAGTATAAATTGGTGGAACAGGCTGGTATTATCTGACAATGTTGAACAACAAAAAAAAACAAACAAAACTAAACTCACTGCCTTCAAGTCGAATCTGACTCATAGTGATCCTTCCTTGGGTTTCTGAGGCGTTATCACTATGGAAGCAGATTGCCCAACCTTCCTTCCAAGGAGTGACTGGTGGGTTTGAACTGTCAGCCTTCTGGTAAGCAGTCAAATGCCTTAAGCACTATGCCACCAGATCTCCCTCAATGTTGAGCATTAGGCTTATATCCTCTGATTCAGCAATTCTTCTCTGAGATAAATGCTTTACTTCCAACAAGAAATTTTGCACAGGTGTCCCTTGTAAAAGAATGTTCATAGCAACATTGTGCCTATTAAAATAGCCACAAACTGGCAACAACCCAATATCTCATCAATAATAGAATGGTTAGAAAAATACATTGAAATGTAATAAAGATTTTAAAAAGAAAATAGCTGCTTCACTCATCATCATGGACTATCTCAAAAACAATTTGAATGAAACAAACACGTTACAAAGGCTCTATTCAGTGTGATTACATTTATATAAAGGACAAAACTCAGCAGAACTAAACAGGAAGTTGTATAGGATACATACATGCATGGTACAACTACAAAGAAAATAAAGTGTCAGGCTAATGGTTACTCCCAGGAGAAAGGAAGGAGATAAGACTGCCGAGGCCTTTAAGGAAATGGTAATGATCTATCTCTTAATTTGATAGTGGTTATAGGTAGTCGGGGCCGACTGGACAGCACATGACAATAACAACAACAACATAGGGAGTTTACTTTATTATCACTCTTTAAACTTAAAGATTACTTTTTATACACACATGTATGTATGTTATATTTAACAACAAAAAAAAAGTAAAGGTAGTGAACCATTGCACACTTTTACATTGAACTTCTCTTCTTTTTCTTATCTTTCCTTTTTCACTTTCTCCCCTATCTGGCCTGACTCACCTTAATTATTTTGATCTGGAATACATAGAGTGCTGGTGAATGCATTAATTTATGCCACAAACGTGGCAGATTTATTTAAGTGTGTTGCGTGTTTTCTCTTCTTAATATTAAGGTGGATGAGTAAGATGTTTCACACATCTATCTTTCAAGTTAAATTATATAGCTTTTTGTTGTTGTTGTTATGTGCCAGTGGAGTCAAATCCAACTCATAGTCAAGTGCCTTAGGCACTACACTACCAGAGCTCCTAAATAGCCTTTTACTTGTACATAATTTTTTGAAGGGCAATGACCCTGCATAGGAAAAAAGTTCATGTATCTGCACCAAGTTATAAAAGATAATCTAGAATTGCTGGGTATCGTCTACTATGGTGAGAGGGTAAAGGAAGTGTGAAATAAAACAATGACAACATCATTCTCCTTGGAAACACAGAGAGCCCCGTGGCAGTGGGCACCTGTGCTCCCAGCCCAGCGGCACTTGATTCACTCCCGGCCCGCCCCCTGTGTACATTCAGCAGTTGCCCTTCTTCGCCCAGGCCTCTTCTACCATCCACCTGTCTGGAGCAAGCCCAGGTTTCCCTCTCTTTCACTTCATTGACCAAGGCTGCACCTCAAAAGCCAGTTGCTCTGATGACTCTTCCTGGGTGCTTAGGTCTGGGGCACACTGGGCTTGTGCACTTTGAAAGGTGCCATGGACTGGGTCATGGGCTCCGTGTACTGCTGCTCTTGGTTGCCCACTGGGCAGTCGCAGGTCGAGGCCTAGCCTTGTGAGGCAGCGCACAGGCCCAGCATTGAGGCATTGCCAGCTGAACTGAAAGATACCCTACAGGAGCTCTGCGCACTCCCCTCATTGGTTGCACACTGGAGCCCCAGGCCACAGGGGCCAGCTACTCCTGGCTGACCTACTGTTGCTTCTGGCATTGGCCTGCCATGCAGCTGCAGGCTCACCTGCTCACGGTGCAGCTTGAGGCGCTACGGATGCTGAGGGCCTCAATGCAGAGGCTGTCAGAAGGTCTGGCCAAGCTCAGCAAGCAGTAGGCAGAAGGGGGAGCCTGAGGCTTGTGTAGCTGGTAGTGTTCTGCAGCAGGCAAGGGAGTGTGAGTGTGTGCGTGCTGGAAGCCGATAGCACAATCTGAACTGGGTCTTGCTTTACCTCCACACCCATCCAAGGAAGGGGGTGCCCCCAACAAGCGATTCTGAAAGGGTCAGACTACTGTTTAGGAAACACCTTCCTTAAACAGTCCATCACTGATTTTACAGAGTAGGAAACTGAGGCCCACAGAGGGGAAGGGCCTTGCCAAAGTGCATAGCTAGTTTAGTGAACCTAGTCCTGTCCCAATCTTGGCAAATCCCCTGTGACACCAAGAGCAAGCACAAAGAAGACCTCACTCATCTCTCTCCTCAATTTGGAGGAGGTCTAACCCGCCATCCTGAAAAAGACCCTGACTGAGTTAGAGATCCTGCTGCCCCAATGAAAGTCAAGTGCACTTCTGGTTGGGGAGGACAGAACTTCTGGGTACAGACTAGTTTACACCTCTGCCCTGGGAAAACTGTATTCATTCCATTCCCTCCCCCAGACCCTGAAGAGGCAAAGGAACAGACGCTGTCAGCTGGCAATTCCCCTTTTGCTCTGGCCAAGGAGCCACATGGAGGCAGGAGACTTCACAAGTAGGAGATGGGCTGAGGGGTCAAGAAATAGGAAGAAACCTAGGGCTTGGAGAACAAGGTTCTGAGTTTTTGCCCTTGTAATACCACTGATTAGCTGCATGGCTGTAAGATTCAGCAGTCCCTCCCTTACAGGTCTCACCTCATTACTGGACTGATGAAATGATTTGATGGATGTGCAGTGAATGAGAATCCAGGTTCTATCCCACCCACAGCTCTGGTGGTGCAATGCCTAAGGCATTTGACTGCTAACCAGAAGGTTGGTGGTTCAAACCCACCAGCTGCTCCAAGGGAGGAAGACAGGGCAGTATGTTTCCATAAACATTTATAGCATCAGAAATTCAATGGGGGTTGCTATGAGTTGGAATTGACTCGAAGGCAGTGGGTTTGGTTTTTTTGTTTTGTTTTGTTTATCAATAGTGCCTAAGGCACTTGACTGCTAACCAGAAGGTTGGAGGTGCAAACCCACCAGCCACTCCTCGGAAGGAAGGTTGGGCAATCTACTTCCATAGTGATACCGTCTCAGAAACCCAAGGAGGGGTCGCTATGAGTCGGGCCCAACTCGACAGCACAGAACAACAACAACAACAACACAACAACAACAACAATAATGATTAGTAAAAGCCTTCACAGCCAGGTTTTTTGGGCTCCAAATTCCCCTAGGAGTAGGAGGTTGGCCTGGGAAGACAGACCCCAGAGAAAGGGGGCTCTGCTCCTGGCTCCTGCCTGGGGGTGCATCCTCCCAGTTGGCCTTTCAATACCACCTCTCTGCCAGCAGGCCTGGTCTCAAAGATTGGGACCATGCTGAGAGGCAAGTCAGGGACCCTCGTCTCCATGGTGACCCACCATGCAGCACCCCGGCCACAAATAGTGGAAGAGCCCTAGGCTAGGAAACCTCACTTTTGATCTCAGGTCTGAGAGAACTTAGCAAGCCCCTCCCCTACTGGGCCTCAATGGATATCTCTGTGCATGAGTAGTTTGAACCAGAAGACCCTTAAGGTTCCTTCCAGCTCAGTCTATGCTTCTGATACTCTCTGCCATGGTGGGGTGGGACTCCTTACCTCCATTATTTAACATACATGCTTCAACTCAGGTTGTGCTCCCCTCACCTGGGGTGGGAACAGTAAGAAGTGCTCCCAGAGGAGGGGCATATGGCAAGGCTGGGCAGTGGCAATGTGACAGTCACATCATCAAGACACTTGTGAGTGGATTTCTGGTAGCCAACAAGCCAAGCTAATGTCAAGCAGCAACATCTTCCTGACTTCTGAGTGTCGGGGGGCAAGGGAGTAGTATAACTCCAATCCTTAGATTGATAAGTTGTTGTTGTTTGCCATCGAGTCGGCCCCGACTCATAGCGACCCCTCCTTGGGTTTCCGAGGCAGTATCACTCCTTCCTTCCGAGGAGTGGCTGGTGGGTTTGAACCGCCAGCCTTCTGGTTAGCAGTCAAGCGCCTTAGCCACTATGCTACCAGAGCTCCTGATAAGAGGTATAGGAGTCAGGAAATGGGTAAAAACAAATATGGGCTAAGTACTTTGTTACTGAGTAAACATGAACCAAAAACCAAACCAAATCCACTGTGTCGAATCAATTCCGACTCATAGTGACCCCTTTTGGGTTTCTGAGGCAGTAAATCTTTATGGAAGTAGATTGCCCAGTCTTCCTTCTCTGGAGTGGCTGATGGGTTTGAACCACCAACCTTCTGGTTAGCAGTCAAATGCCTTAGGCATTGCACCACCAGAGCTCTTTGAATAAACATGAGTAGGTAGCAACTGTCACACCAGGCCATCAAGACAAGTTCTTGAGTTTTTTGAGTCTATTGCATTCCATGTGAGGAGACAGTGGTGACAGCAGTTCTTGGTCTTTGTGAGGTTCTTAGAAGGCAGGACTCCCCAGCCCTACCATCCCTTGTACTGGCTGCTAGGTGACTCATGCTGGTCTGGGCTGAGGTTTGAAGGACAGGGAGTTTTCCAGACAAAAAGATGAGGGGAGAGGATTCCCCAGAAAGGAGCAGCCCCTGCAGAGACTCAGAAGGTGGGGGAAACCCAAACCCACTGCCAGTGAGTTGATTTTGACTCATAGTGATCTTATAGGACAGAGTAGAGCAGTCCCATAGGGTTTCCAAGGCTGTAAATCTTTATGGAGGCAGACTGCCTCATTTTGCTCCTACAGAGCAGCTGGTGGGTTCAAAACACTGACCTTTTGGTTAACAACCAAATGCTTTAACCAAGGCCCTTCTATTGCATCAATTCTGCTCCTTTGCTGTTTCAATGTGTTATCTATTTCTGACAATTTGGTATTAATCTTCTGGATTTCTATCTACAGATTTTGAATCATTTCTAATTTTTCATTTATTTTGTCATTTTGTTCTTGTATTTTCTTCTAACATTCTTCTAGGGATTTGTCTGTGTTTTTCTTGATCTGTCTCTCAATCCTTTGAAGATACCTAAATATAATTCTTTTGAATTCCTTATCTGGGAGTTCCAGTGCTGTTTCTTCCTCAGGGATGTGTTCTGGGTCTGTATCCTGCTCCCTTGTTTTACCAGTTTATCTTGCTTCTTTGTGTGGACTGTGACAGTCTGAGACATTGTGATGTTGTTGTATTTAGATCTCTGTTAACTATTTGTGAAGAGCAGCGCAGGGTGATTCAAGCTCTTTTTGGTGGTTGTTTATCATAGGCCCGTTGGTGGAGAAGGAGGTGGTGACTCTCACTCAGTAAGTGAAGCTGCAGGAGGTGTGGGTGTAGTTGTGTCATATGGGGACTGTTGCTGTTTCCTACTCAGTTAGACAAAAATAGCAATTGAAAAACCATCAAAAAAGTAAAAGCAAATGGACAAAAAATACACCGTGTAATCACACAGGAACAGCAACCAAAAAAGAGGAGAGGGAAAAAAACAAAAACAAAACAAAACAAAAACATCACAATATCTAGGGAGAGGGCAATAATAGAAAAAAGTAGAGAAGGAGAATAATGAAGAAAAAAATGGGAAAAATGCAAAAAGGAAAACAAGGAATGGGGTTACCCACAAGAAAGGGGGGAAAAAAATTGGAACCAGGAACAGGGAAAAGAAAAAAAGCTGAAAACTAGAACCTGGGAATGGAAGAATAAAGAATGATAATAAAAAAGACAAAAGTAATAATAATAGTAGTAGTTTTAAAACAGACAAAAACAAACAAACTTAAAAAAAGAAAAAAAAAATCTGGACAGGACAGAGCAGGGCACCCAGGCTCCATCTGAGCACACAGACTGAGATGGAACTCCTGCCAGCATAGAAGGTGGGTGGTAGTGAGGGATGGCCGCACCTCCGTTCACCAAGAGGGTGTGAGATATAAGAGTAACTAGGGGAATGTCGCACCTTTCTAGTAGTCCAAGCATCTGGGATGTCTTTGCAGTTCCCAGCAAGGAGAGCCTGTTCTTAAGTCCCTGGCATCTGGAAGAATGCTATTGCTTTAAATATCCCAAATGGTCAAGCTACTTGTAAACATTCAAAATGGCTGCACCCTCCAAAAACAGAGAAGTCCACAGTTCAGCCCACCTTTCTCTTTGCTGCTTCCCATTTTATTCTCCAGCCACCAGAGCAGTCCTCCGTGCAGTCCCTGGCTAGCAGGGCTGATTTTTAGGTTAATTCTTAGGTCCTACCACCACTTGGCAATATCCAAGCTGTCTGTGCCATCAGGATCGCTGCCAGACCACAGCTCTGTAAGTCTCCTTTTTTGGTATTTTCATGCAAATTCTTCTGCTAGTTGGAGTTTAGTCCACTTCTATACCCTTCCCTTCAAAGCTCAGGGGTCCAGAATTATCTTCTGTATCTGTGTTAATTGGTTCCCTTTTTCTTTGTTGAAGAGGGTCTGTGCAGTCTTTCTGCCTATTCTGCCATCTTACTGGAACTCAACCAAGGCCCTTCTAATCACCAGAAAGCAGCCCTCGATGGCTGGAACCTGAAGCTCAGGAGAAGTGAGAGCAGGGCTTTGAAGGCCATATTAGATGGGGAGGCTGAGGGTTTTAAGAGAATTGCCAGAATGCTTCCTGAAAGGAAGACAATTGGCCTAAGAAGGAGGGTGTCACTGAGTACTTGTCTACAGTCACTGAGGTCTCATTTCAAACATCTCCCATCGGACACCCAGGGCCTCAATTAACACCCTTCTGTAGGCACCCCTGTGACCAGTGGGAGATAGGAGGTGTGCTGCTGGCAACCCAGCTCCATCCCAGGGCAAACAGCCTGCACTGCCCCAGCCCAGGGCTCAGGGGACTCATGGAGATTGTCCAGTCTGACTCTCAGAGGACAGATAAGGCCCAGAGGGAAAGGCCCTTGCCCAGAGTCCCATGGCAAGATGGTGGCAGAGCTGGGATTAAAACCAAACCCCAAGTTTCACA